GTCAAAATAAGCAACGCAGTAGAAATATTTCAAAATCAGTCCTTAATCCTACTTAACATGTTACTTATTACTCGAATCTTAAATATTTTTACTTTTCTTAAAATCAAGTTTAATTTTCTTGAAATATTTTGGATCACCTGGAGGCATTGCAGCTAGCCTTTTTAGTATGCAAACTTATAAAAGGGAGATAACTACGACCAAAAATGTTTAGTACATAAATATGACGGTTAAGTCATCTTTGAAATATTAATGATTGCCGTTTATTTGATACATAATGATATAGTGCAACGTTAACAAATATCTTTCTACTTTGTTGAAGTATATTTGTTTATTAAATGTATAAATATTCTTATGCAAACTCTGTTAGATTTGCCGTAACCTTTTTATGCTTGGCAACAATACTTCTCGGCTAATTTACTATAACTGAATTGTACAACTATAAATTATATGTATTCAATTTTATGTTAAATAAAATATATAAGTTACCTTAGTTTATATTATGATTACAATTTTAATTCTCAATTTTTTTCTCTGTGATAGCGATAAAAGAAACTTTATGATTAAGTTAGATAACGTTGATAAAATCGACAATAAGTTAAAGATATAATATACTCAAATTTCTTATTTGAAAACAATGATACCTGTGATTGCTATACATTCTCTTTGTAGATGTAATAAAAACATTTTTTTAGCGTAAAGCTTGATTTTATTGATCTGTCAGTTATGAACACATTTGTCATTATAACACTAATTTAAATATTCGATCCCACTACGGGCATATAGTGAAGTGAACAGGAGATGTAAAAAAGAAAGTTTACATTTTGTCATGACGATACCTTTCAATTTTATAGTTTATAGTTTATGAAGGATATATAACTCATGTAGCCCAAGGAAATGTATTCAAATATCAATCAGAATTTTCCTGTAATGTTTAATTTATTAACAGAGCTGGACAGTCTTTTAACATATTTCAGACATATTTGAGCCGCGTCATGACAAAACAAACATAGTGCGTTTGCGACCAGCATGACTTCAGACCAGCCTGCGCATCCGCGCAGTCTGATCAGGATCCATGCTGTTCGCTTACCAACTGTACAAGTACTGTACAAGTAGAGAAACTGATAGCGAACAGCATGGATCCTTATCATACTGCGCGGATGCGCAGGCTGGTCTGGATCCATGCTGGTCGCAAACCAATTATGTTGGCTTTGTCGTGAGGCGGCTCATTTGTATTTAATTCTAAATATTTTTAATATCAACTGTTGGTCAATTTTAATTATTACAGTCAATCTTCTGAAACTATGTAATTATTATATTTTCAAAAACACGTGTATATTTCTGTTTGATCGTACTGTCAAAATGAAATGTGATTTGAATAGTACAGCTATTGAAGGAAATATATCGCAAAATATTAATAATTGCTACACAGTCTCTTTATGAATATATAGTGTCGTTAAAACAGCTTGCAACTTTTTACAAAAAAATACCATATTTACTGTCCTGTAATAGGGGACGTAGCCTCTAATACATGTATGTAGTTAAATCATATTTTTATGCAAATTTATAGACGAAATAATTTAATACATTTCATTGCATTTTTTTATTAAAATATTTTACTTAAGAATGAGCATAGTATATCTTTAAAGCAGAGAACTTAGTGCGTGTATTTTTATAGTAGTGATCATATTTGTTAAATCAGTCATCTGTTTTCACCATATGTGGTGGTAAACGACCCGAGTATTTTCTCATGTGTGGCAGTAAATGACCTTCCACCACAATAAGAACATAGGTCGATAATAAACACATCGATGAACTTGAAAGAAAACCAGTTATTCCGCTTGATATTTCCTGATAAAACAAGTTAGATCAGCCCCTCCCCATGACAGCTTTAAAATAGTATGTAGTGTATTGAAATAGCAATATTTGTTGTTGTTTTTTATTAAAAAAGAGGTTTATACTTTTAAACGACAAATGTTTCCTTAAAATATAAAATGAAAGAATTATAGCAATTCATATTTAGTGTTTGAAATCATCTTTTGTCCACACAAAAATAATCAGTTCATCGTTACATACACACACACACACACACACACACGCACACACGCACGCACCAACACACACGCACACACGCACGCACGCACATACATACATACATACATACATACATACATACATACATACATACATACATACATACATACATACATACATACACAATTTCATCGTATTCTCTTTAAAATATATGTCTAAATGATATCTAATGCATACGTCATTTTTATGGGTTTTTTAAGGTTTATTGGACTTTTTCGAACATCAGCTGCCCTTTTACAATAATTGGCTAATTTATTAAAATATTTACATCTGATATTTTATCAATTCAGTAAATTATAACATACTTGGGCGTGTACAACAATATCTTTGAATGCATTTGGTTTGAAATATAATATACGCTGAACAAATTAAAACAAATGAAATTCATCTTCATTATCAAAACACTGGCATAGTTGGCACTTCCTATCATTTCTATCAATGTTTCTATGTTTACCAGTTTCAATAAAAAGTTGATGACACAACGGACGTTGAATGAGTACATATCAAAATTGGTTATTTTATCTTGCAAAATATTCTAATATTTATTAGATATTATTTCTATAATAAAAGTGAATATCTGGTCGACATGTCCTGTGTTCAGTTATTTACATATATATCCTGAAGTCTTATACAAAAAATTACAATTAACCTTACTTTTTTTTTTTAGTAATAGGTAGATTGATAACTGATATTGTGTTAAACAAGAAGTACTGTCATTTTGTAAAAACATCTCTAATTTATTAATTAAGAATAGTGAGAACAAAATCGACGAAATTATCTTCCCCTGAAATAAGCCTACATCACAATTGAACATATCTGACAATGTATCATCAAGTCGAACACATATCATACAAAAATCTTATAACATTAATATTCTTCCATTTACACCATTTTTTTTTAATTTGACCCGAAGGTCGTTTCGGTATAAAGAATCAAAACATTTCATTAAAGCTACAAAACAGCAATATAATTTCTTTTTTATTAAGCTGTCTTTCAATAAAAGAATGTAAGAGAAAAAAGCATGGACTGTGCTATACAAACAGGGCATCAGTAAGAAAATAATTTTACAAGTGCCCATTTTTTCAAAAGTTCATTTATAATAATTACAGTAAATAATTCAGCAAAACAGCTTATCAAAGTAATACCTCTGTAATTTGTAGGTAAACTTGAATCTCCTTTTTATACCCCCGCACAACAAAGTTGTAAGGGGGTATACTGGAATCACATTGTCCGTCCGGCCGTCGGGCGTCCGTCGGTTTTTTCTTGTCCGCCCAATTACTTAAGATTCCTTCGACCAACAGTCTTAATATTTAGAGGTTATTCATGATTAATAGACGACCCCTATCGATTTTGAGGTCACCAGGTCAAAGGTCAATGTCACATGGACTTTGACTGAAAAAATTTTGTCCGCCCAATAGCTTAAGAATCCTTTGACCCACAATCTTCATATTTGACATGAAGGTTAGTTATGATAAGAAGATGAATCCTATCTATCTAGTGATTTTAAGGTCACCAGGTCAAAGGTCAAGGTCACAGGGGCATGGCTGAAGAAAGCTTGTCTGCCCAATAACTTAAGAATCCCTTGACCCACAGTCTTCATATTTGGCTTGGAGGTTAGTCATGATTAGTAGATGAATTCTATCTATTTTTAGGTCACCACAACAAAGGTCAAGGACACACAGGCCTTGACTAATTAAAGTTTGTCCACCCAATTACCAAAGAATCCTTTGACCCACAGTCTTCGTATTTGGCATGTACACTAGTTATGATAATAAGATGACCCCTTTTGATTTTGAGACCACTGGGTCAAAGGTCAAGGTCACAGGGGCTTTTATTACAATAAGCTTGTCTGTTCAATGCCTTTTCACAATGTATTGAGTTTTACATTTTCACATTTGAAGCATATAATATAAAGGTAAATGTCTTTTTGCCCCTAAAACATGTAGAATGCATAACTTAGCAATACACCGGCTTACTTCCCTCAGATTTTGCCAGGAGGTTGTCCTTGAGCTCTAAATTACTACTGTTGATTCTGACAAAGTGGTATGCGGCGGTATTCACGTCATGACAGTGGCAGTTCTAGTTTAAAGCAGGTATAATCATGCCCATTGACCATGTTTGAGGAAAATATTGTCATAAATATCGTTTGGCATGTATCCTTATGTTCATTTTTAAGTGTTGAGGTTTGTTATAATTTAGATAATTGTTCATTTTATCGCACACATGTTTCATTGTCAATAATTGGTCAATAATCAGTACAATGGTCAATCTTTTGAAAAATCATCTAATAATTGTTGGAGTTACTAACAGTTCCTAACGAAAATGAAGGCATCTTACTCTAGTAAACTGCTTGCTTAGGAATACTTTGGTGGAGTAATGTTATACGAGGGTTGTCAAAAAAAAATTTCGTGCAATGCAGTTATTGTCTTGTGAGTTATTGATAAAAAACATGAATTATATATCATTTGAATGGGAAATCGTCTCTAATAAGAAAACAAAAAAGCCGTGTAACCGGCGTGTCGTGAAAAAGAAACGTCAAACAGTTATCTTAGTAATGTAATACCGGCGCACGTCAAAAAATTGGGTTTATTTGCTGTGAAATTATTTCTTTTTTAAGTTGTCATTTGCCTTACAGTAACTAATGATAGACTGAAGTATCGTTAAATTGGCGATTGCCTTGTAATACGTGCATTGTACACTCAAAGTAATAAAATGCAACAAAGATGTGTTTGATCTTACTAAAATAATTCATGCATGAAATGACAGCAACACGTTATTCAAATGTAAGATGATATAGTATGAAATGAGATCAATAAATTGCCCATGCGTGTTAGATGTTAAGTTTTCAACCTGTCTAATGACTCGTAAACATTTATTGCTCACTTTCGTTGGTTCATTTTCAAAAGAAATTCAAGAAAACATGACGGCGACGGATAAAATATTTGATAAAGCAAATGTTTGTCATTGTAGTCTCTTACATTTTCCACAGCATCCACTCTTTAACAAAACGGAATTATATTAATACTCAATTAAATACAAAAAATAGAGTTTAAAAGTAACAAAACAACATATATGGATAATATATAATCGTGTCTCGTGTTAAATGTATTAGAATGTGCATTTTCGTGGAATTTAAAAGACAATTTTAGAGCAGATTAAGCCGATTATCACCGAAGTAACAACATTATATTATGGAAGGAAAACGCATTATTGTGATTGGTGGAGGAACTTATAGAATGAGAAACATGTGGCCGGATGCTGAGGGATATGGAATAAAGGTACAGGTTAAAAAATCTTGCCGTTTCAGATGTTCTTGGAAGCCCGACTTGGGTGACGTATTAAAATACGCGCGTTTATGTTAGTGTTTGTTTAATAAATATTGAGGTTAAAAACTTTGAAATAAGATTTTTATTGAATAAAGATTAAATCAGCCGCGGTAAATTCAAGCAAGTCCCTTGTCTATAGATTTTGATACGATTACAGTTGAAACTATTTAATTATATGTGTCTAATTTTTCAGGTCATACTTGTGGAATATGACCCAAATCATATTGCACGAGATTTTGTTCATTGTTTTTTTGAGTATGATTTCTCTGACCATACGATGGACCACGTGCATGCCAGTGAAATCATAAGTTTATTACGCAGACGGGAAATAAAGGCTGATGGTTGTGTGTCATTCTGTAACGATTCTTCACCATTGGCAGCGTTAATTTGTGAACAATTAGAATTGACAGGTAGCATAATATAATTACAATTTATAAAGTGACGTTTTTGCATAAATCGACATAACGCCCTGGTACCATGTCTGTTTGAATTTCCACAAAAAATAATATATTCAAGATAACTACACAAGCATTGTGCCGTTTTGTATATGCCGATTGTACCTATCAGATTTCAAAAAAACAATACAAAGAACCAGAGTTTAGAATGTAACTCTTTAATTAAATTTAGTTTTAGAAATGTCGATATATAGTGGTGTGTAAATATATGATTTAGCTACCATTTTATTTTATGAGAGCAGTGACATTCAATTAAAGGCACATTTTGCCTCAGAAACGAATTAACATTTTCTTCTGTAAAAAAGACAAATAAGAGTTTTGTAACATTGAGATAATGGTATAAAAGCATTTAAGATGCATAACATCAATTATAACAATTACAAGCGGACACCAAACATAAAAGAATATCTGAGGCATAATGGGTCTTTTAGTATTTTAAGCACCCGTTTGTCTTTATTCGCATATGACATGTTTACTGATTTATAATTATTTTACATCAATAATAATTTAGGTCTGAGCTACAAATCAGCCATAATAGCTAACTCGAAATATCAAACGCAGAATGTGTTGAAAATGAGTAATATAGAAATTGACGATGTGTCAAATACTGATGTATTTTGTTCACATGCAGTTCATCTAAGTAGAGATCTGGACTGTGATGCGTTACCGGAAAGGTTTGTGTTGGTATTTCGTTTATTTGTCTTATTTATTCTTCGGAATTTTTATTTGTTTGTTGTTGAGTAAGGTATGAACAATAGTCAAACCATTATACTTACTTACTTATTTAACACTGGAGAAAAAAATATTTTTTTGTTTTGTTTAGATACATAAGAATCACTGTCATATTAACATAAGAGCATTAATATATAGAAGATAAAACAATTGCATAAAATACGATTTTTATCAAGTATATAGTAAAGTAAATGTACACAATACATAAAGAAAACTTTTGAATCCAAATAATGCATCAAAGTAAGAAATAATTAATTGAAAAGCATGCGTATCACATAGATTTTTTACTGTCGCTTGGTCTACGTTATAACTTTTAAAGTGTAATCGTTTTTTATTTTATAATACAATCAGTTACACAATCAGTTCAACGAAACAATTTGTCCAATTAAATCATGTTTATTTTTTCATTATCAGTTTTAAATTTCCGGCGATACTCAAACTAGATAACTGTTCGGGAGGTATAGGAGCGTGCATGGTTACAAGCAAAGTGGAATTGAAAAACAAATTCCAACAAATAACAAGCTCCTTGTGCACAGATTCAGACTTTCCCAGGATCGGACTTAGTCGAGGCAATTCAATGACAACATTTGAGTTTTACAATGGTACTGAGCATAATGTCGATGTCATTTTACATGGCAAAACTCTTGTATGGGCTTTTATAACTGACAGTGGAATAGTACGTCAACCATATTATATAGGTATCGTTATTGTATTTAAAGAAGCGTTTAACTTTAGATTCTACATGTCACACCGAAAGCAATTATAGACAAAACAAAGGTGAGAGGAATTAGAACTAAGACGGTATAATACATGCTTGCGTTTCCAAAAAATACTGTTGTAATGCTCAATTAAATTAAATTTTATAGTAACATAATGCTTTCAAGCAAAGATTCAAAGTAATAAAACACTATAATTTATAAAGCACAATCTGTATATTACGCAAACAATTCGAAATATACAATTTATCTACACGGCAAAAACATAGACTTGCCTTGAATATGATTGTACACGATCTAAATTTAAGTTAGCAGTATGCGCCAATAATCGCCTAAAGGCTTTTTGTAGGAGAATGTTGAAATATTTCTGAATATATTACTTTAACAAATACATTTTAGGTACTGCCAAACGGATGCCTTCATTTCTACCGGAGTTTAACCGCAATCAGCTGATAGATGCAGCCTTTAAATGCTGCTTAGGGATAGGTAATATAAATATTTTTTAAGCTATTCTTTGTAGACATAAGATTTGTTTCAGACATTTGATAGAATTTTATGTAAATTTCATTCTCTGCAATTCTTTGATCGACATATACAGGTGATACTTACATGTACAATTATATTTCGAAAGGTCTAACGGATGGAACATTCAATGTTGAGTTTATAATGACAGCCAACGGACCGAAACTTGTTGAAATCAATCCAAGAATGTGCGGATATATCTTCCGGGATTGGATAATGAAGTTGTACGGAATTGATATCATGTTATATACAATGATGATCTCTTGTGGAATAAAACCTGAAATACCAAACATTTCAACAGACACAATACAGATGGGCGTAATGGTGATACCATCTTTACATGGAAAACTTCTGACAGATGATCAATACAAAAATAAGCTGAGTGAAATGATTGATAGTGGCCAGGTCTTTTTTCTTCAGTTCTTAGATAGTTTTAAGCATTTGTCCACCTATGACAAACCGTTTGGAAATGTTTCTGTTTCCGGGTCAAACTCGGTTGAGGTAAAGAAGAGTTTGATGAATGTGTGTAAAGCTCTCGACATAGACAAAAACGATTATCAAGTTGACATTTTTATAAGGAATTTTTAAACTATAAGGAATTTTTAAACTACACACGGTATAATTATATATTCTTGTATTTTTCAATAAATTGATAGAACGATAGTAAATGTAATCACATATTTATTTTGATACTGTTTAAATATAATAACGTTAATTTAAATCTAGATGCAATTTTCAGTTTATTTTTTAGTATATTTTTTATTATCGTTTTCATGTATTTCCAGCTGATCTTTGTATTTTGTTCTTTATATATTTATTAACATATTTGTCTAAATACATAGATAAAACTATGACACGTTCCTGTTGTCTTTCGTTCTTCCATTCTGGATTGAAGCACCGTTACACGGAAAATCTGCACCGTTTCACGTACTGGAAAGTGCAAATACCTTTAGAAATTGTACTAGATTTTTGCATCGATTCCTATCATCTGACCATAAGCAATAACAAGCACATTACATTAATTAGCTTATAATTCACGATTTATTGTATTTAGTCTTTTTTTTTCATTTTAAATATCGATTAAAATGACTGTTGTGTCATGACAAATAAACCCATGTAACGATTTTATGATGTTTTTTTTCCAGTCAAATTATTTTCGGTTACAAACCACATAGAAATGCAAAGAAGTGGAAAAGAAGAAGCCTTTGCTAAGGAATCGTTAAATACTCAAATTTCAGAGAATTATCACCTTAACCCCCCCCCCCCCCCTCCAGTAAAAATCTAATGGTTACAAGTACAAATGCAGCAATTGAGAAGCTCTCCCCCCATAAATGCGCTCATTACAGATACCTAACCAAATCATTCCTACGTTCAGGTCATTTTCTATTGAGATTAAGTACTATTGTATATTATTCCGGATGATTTGTAAATAACATAAATTTGCATAATTATACTTATCGTAATGCACTGTCCATTGCAGAAGGGCAGGATATTAAATAAAAAATGCTTTGAAATTCACCAATGCATACCTGGAAATGAAAGTAATCCCAATACAAGACTTATAACATGTATAATGTGACATGTCAGTAGTGCAACATTGTTCTGTTTGTGTCACTTCTGTAATCAGTAATAAAAGATGATAATAATGTATCATAGTATGTGCAGTTTCTTTTTCATCTACAATGCTACTTATATTCTACAAATATCAACAACTTCTAAAACAAAAACTTTCATCGACTTCATTTTTCAAAATGAACGTCAAATGGTATACCATTATATAATAAAGGGAGACAAATCGAATAGACTCAGAAAAGGGAGACAACGCATTAGTTTTCCTTACGTAAGTTCACATCTAGGTGTGTTTGATCTGTAATATATGTCTCTGATCAGTATAAATTTTTTGCAGTACATTTTGCACGACTAGTTTTTTTTTAAATATGTTTTTTAAAACAGTTTCAGACTCAAAACTAAAACTACTTTTATAAATGGATTTTCGGATTTTCACAATGTTAAGGTAATTTATGTATAGCTTTCAAAGTAATGTAACCAGTCTTGCGCAGCAATAAATACATACATATCCCACCGCGCAATACAAAATAATAAGTAATTTCCTGTAGAAGATACAAATGTAAGAAATACATTACAGAATTTAAGTTTATTTTTTGTTTTGTCTTTTTAACTGCCTTCACAGCGATTGAGGCGTTAAATTCGTTCCTGTTCTCATTCATTAATATGACATGCTGCGAATCACCGCAGTGGAACAATATATTAATTTACATAAAAGAAATCGGAATATTTGGTTTCAAATGTACTTTTAGCTGTAAATCGAAGGGATTGATAAATCAAAATCGGGTCCATGGACAAAATAGCTCCGCGCCTTTGAGTGCGGAGCAAATAAAATCATTATGGATGAAGCCGTATTTAGAAAATGTCATGTTAATAGCACCCGTCTCAATAAATCTCGATTCTTTTCTCTCCTGAACGTTGAGATCAAGAAGCTTCGTCTTTAAAGTCACAGAAGCTTTGTCTTTAGAGTCAAATTGAGCACACTGTAGTTACACATTCTGATAATTTAACAGGTGTCGGTTCTCCATTTTGTGTCACTGGCAGATATTTCTGTCCTCCATGATCTTGCACATGATCGAGTGAATTCACCTATGTTACAGAAAATTTTGCAAAAGGTCCATGGATTTACACAGAGTATTAATTTTCATACTCAATATTCAATTATTCATTTATTCTTCAAATGTCTTAAATAAGATATTCAATTTAATTGTCATTCATTTCGATATCTTAAACGATAAGCTAGAATAGTAATCGATATAAACCTAGCACGGCTTATCATTAATGTTGTAAGGTTGGTTTCATCAAGCATGTTTATTGGAGCTGCATCTCTGGAGCTGCATGCAGGCTATAACTCAAGCATCTTATAACCGGTTTAAGGTGGACTCAACACTTAAACGTTAATATGTGTTTCAACTATTTTTTAAGATTTAAAGACATATGCAGATGTCACCTAATAGCGATTGGTACATTTAGACCCACAGTTTAAGGATGTGTTTACTAGACGAGAAAGCATTTGACGGAATAATTAGATCAGAGATTATGAAGCATAGTTGTAAAATACTAAAATTGTTTCTAAGACAAATTAGATAAGAGATATAAGGAATTTATAAAAAAACATTTTATGCAATTCATCAGTTTACGAATGCATCAATGTCGCGTAATACGCTGTTACTTAGCCGAATGTAATATGTTTTCTTGGCCGTTTGTTTTCATCCCTGTGCTGACATTCAATTTGAAACTACCTGTCTTATACAATATGAAACTACAATTATAGTAATTTTTGTCTTCACCCATATTCGATTATTCAAGGTAAACAACGAGTGTATGAAAATAGTATTTGAGTGTGTGATAAAAAAAAACCCAACAGAAATGGTTTCATACAGATTATTATTCATTTAGAATAGATTTCATACAATAGTTTATAGATTTCTTTCTGTCTTTTCTTTTTATCATATTTACAGTTGTCGTGTTGTTCACAAAAGCAATGAACAGGAAATTTCACTGTACTTTGTCATACATATTAACAAAGTTAAGAATGATCTTCAAAATATGTTTGTCTTTTTTTAACCGATATCATAAGCACACAATGATATATATATATATACCATTGGGTATATATGTACATGTTACATTTAATAATCTGTGCAAAGCATTTCAAACAAAGATTCGAATGGAAGACAACACCTGCTACAATTTTTCTCCTTTAAAAACTTAATGAGGCATAAATGATAGAGCATGAATGAAAATAAGCATATCAATTTTCTACCAAGGATTAATATTGTTATGAGAAATGAGGCGTTTTATTCATGTTCTTATTCGATATTATATGCAGATGATAGTCAGGCATGTCATATAATTTGCGAATGCTATCGTAACATAACAGTCCTTAAAATCGGTTAATGTATCATTACAATGCGAGGAAACTCTACAAGAAATCGGAAAATAAGATAAATTGTGCCTGTCAAATAATGCATCTTTATACGGATATGTTTTTCCACTGATAGATTTGTGGTAGTACCATACAGTAAATAAATTATCAGATCTGATGCCAACTCTCCGCAAGGATGGTTAACAATTTGTACGTAAATTCGAGTATGATATTGTATATACTATCTTGTTCAGTTCCATGTAACAAACAAATCAACTGTATAATTTAAGTTAAAAAGGCAATATTCAAATTTAAAAAAAGGAAGAAAAGAAAACAACAAAAAAACGGATACTTTTAAAGTTTCTTGTTAAGGTTAAAGACTTATGGCAGAGAAAGTGTCACGTGGTAGGGTCAGTGATTAGCGCCAGATTGAACTCGTGCTAGAAACGTGAATTGTATATTATACATATTAAAGACACGTTATCTCAAACGGAATCTGCAATATTCTCAATCGTGCCGTACATCCCTAGATATTTACACTTCATACTTTGCATTTCATTATTAGATTTTTTGTTAGAACAATGACTTAAAAAGAGATGTGTACTGCTGATGTGCGACAATGTACTGCTACGAAATATTTCACCAGAGTTTAGCTATATATGTAGAAAGTAGATGAGTGTCATGAAACGTTACGTCTTGTTTGAAAGGAAAGACACTGTACAAGCAATCTCAATTAAAGCTGTTCACGGGGCTTGAACCACATATGTATTTCAAAATTGAGATTGAATGTTTTGAACACACTAGAGCCACGAACGGAAAGAATATACTGACGGAGATTGCATAAAAATCCGAGGAAAGTCCTAGGGAAACATCACATTTCAATTTTCTTCAAAGAAAACATTTAATTTAACAAAACTATTGAAAACATACACTTGATTGACCTATCTTTTCTTTCTTAATATGGTATAATATTGCACATCTTGATCAGCAGAAATTCACCTTTATATTTTACCGATGCTCAATTTTGAGATTCATATGGGGTTAGCTCTACCATTCCTGTTCTCTCTGACCCGTGCTTTGTTATGTTATTCTGGTTCGCTTATTAATTCTGTATTTCAATATTTCATCAACTGTGACCATAAACATAATACGAGTTTAAATGCAATAACCCTGTACTATTTAAAGCAAAAAGTAAGCGTACAAATTCTTAATGGATAAAATTGAATGTTTAGAAATAAATTTTGTTTGTTGGTTGGTTGGTTGGTTGGTTCGGGTTTTTATTTACGACACTAGAAAAGTGAACAGGAAAACCTCATTTTCAAGTAAAGATTAAACGATACCGACCGTCATTTATTTAATATCATATTTTACATCAATTAATGTTTAACATATCACGGCGTTGGCCTGCAAAGTTATAAAGCTGTAAAGAAATATATACATGAATGAATTAAGCATTTCAATAAAACAAATCCATTAAATTAAACCAAACACGGACTGGTTTACAATGCATATATCATTTAGTTATAAATCACCCAGATCACAAAAATATAGATAATTATAATATCGTCATTATCGATCAAGATACCATTGAGATTTTTATTAAAAAGAAATATAGTACATAATACATGTACATGTATAATTAATTATACAGTGTCACTTGATACGTATAATGTTATGTTTTCTGTTTGTTTTTATTTCTTTTTATACGTTAAAGGCTGGTTTTTATTTAAAAGTATATGTAGCGTTTTAATTCTTTACAAATATTGAATTAAAATTCCGTCGGATTATTGGCCGCGTTGGTTCAAACTCGTTTAAGAGGCAACCCGTTGTTTCCGAGTAACTTTCAACCTGTCGCTTATTACTGGTTGGTTCCAACAAAATTAAACTTAAATAGATACTGTATAA